GGGGGGGGGGTGGGGGCTCCTCCGTCTCTTTTCCTTCTACCTTTCATCTTCCCCTCCCCGCCCGTCTCTCCCAAATGATGTGAGGGAGATGTATTTTGAGGAGTTTGAGACAGGAAATTTTCCAATAAAAGTCAACAAATATCTCTTCATGTCTTCGTATGACACTCAATTTTATATGACTTTATTTTCTTTAATAATCCGACATTCACCTTCATTTTAACAAAGATTAAATTGGAAAATATCACACTTGAGTCCCTTCTCTGGATTATAGGCTTGGACCATGTTTGACTTTTGTGTCCAGCAAAGCTTGAAAAAAGCTATCCATTGTATTAATCGATCTCCTCATCAGAGATCTAATCAATGTAGCCAAACTTGTGGGAAGTGATTGGCATTGACAAAATTTTTTCACCATTTGCTTTAGTTTCACCATGGACGTGGGGAGAGAAGGTAAAGAAAAAAGAAAAGGGAAAAGTGGGTTATTTTATTTTATTGAGAGGACGAAAAAGTACCTATAATTTTTAGGTTTTAATGTACAGTCAAGGCATTTAAGGAAACTTAAATGGATGCATAAGAGAAACGTAAATGATGTAATGGATTGACCATTTGGTGTTAAAGTATTCGAGTAGTTTTCTCGATATAATTGCTGGGATTTGACAGATTTATATAAATTTTATAAGTTGATATTTGATCTTCGCAACCCAAATTATTTCCCTTTCATATCTTTACCCTCCTATAAGTCCTCTACTACAACTCATCATGCTAATGTCATGTTAATACTAAATTCGCATGTAACTTGAAGGGTTAAAGGATAACATCCCTAATGTCTATACTTTGGAGTTTGGCACTTCACCAATTGAGAAACTAAAACATTTTCCTCTGATTGATTGGAAACTTCATGATATGTACATGTTTACCCTTAAAATGAGCAACAATTAAATTTGTATGCGGTTTAAATGATACATGATTTAATTTAACATGAATGATCAAAGAAAGAACAAATAATTGAATTAAAAGAAAGCAACAAATAATTGAATTAAAAGAAAGCAAAACGACCAAACCAAATGTGATAAAATAATTAAGCCTGGCGTTGGTTTTGAATGCTAGAAACCAGTCCCGATAGAGCCCTCGAGATGGAACTCGGTTGCAACTAAAGGAATGAACAACTGAAGAACACTTGAATAATTGCTAAAAGACAAAAGTAAACTTTATTGCTTTGATATGCGTGCCAACAGTAGTAAAAAAATAAAAAGGTTCTCCCCTTTATATAATAAGGGAATTTCAACCCTAGTACAAGTCTAAATAAGGTAAAAAATCCTTTTTCTTCATTCTTTCCCAGTAAAACACGACCCACAGTATATATCGGGCATGATCCGCGCTGCAATATCCGGTTGATGGCGGATGTTTCGGCTCCTCGTTCGTCCTTTTTAACCATCTTCCCTTTAACCTCGATTCTTTGTTTCGCTCGAGCTTGATTCTTCCCATGTTTGGCCATGCCTAGTTTCTGACGTATCATTCGTCCCACCGGGCTCCGATCTGTGGGCACCCTCGACCTTACCCAAGCCAGCGTCGAATCATGTTGTCCCTCATTTCTTCATCGAAAAATTGGGGGTAACTTTATCCCCGATTTTACCCGTACACAGATAGTCCCCTCACTTCTCGGAGAGTAGATTTGTAGGAACGATGAGAAGTGACTAATTGACCCTGGTTCATTCCTTTGTACACCATAAACAAGTTGACGAGCCAAAAATGTCCCATCAGTCACGTCGCTCTGATTTTGGACACGCGTCGGCCGCCGGTTGATCACCCTCGGTAGTTACCGAATGTGAAACGTCATGCATTCATTATTACTTCCCTATAAAAGCTCCGGTTTCCTTTTTTCACTTTTTTACTTTCTGTTTTCGAACCTTCTTGAGTTACCCTCAAATTTTCTATTTGCTAATCAATCCTTCAAATCTTCATAAGTTATTCTTCTCATATTCATATCTTCATCTTTTATCTTCAAACCTTTATACTTTACCTTCAAACCTTCATATCAATTCTTCAAATCTTCATACCAACCTTCAGACCTTCATATTTCCAGATTAAGATGGCTAAGACTTCGAAATCGGTACCCCAAAATACTGCACCTTCGACTTCTACCTCGGCCACAGGCACCGAGACAACCCTTCCGGTAGTAGCCCCGGGACTACCTCTCACAGAATTTATCCCTGGAGGCTTCTCCGTAGACAACGACTTCAAAGTTGAAAAAGTCTCCGCACAAGGAGGCCGAGGTGAGGAGGCGTAGAGGTACGTCTGCTCCATCACCGAGGAGATGCTCCAAGTGGTTCGAGAGGGCTGCAAATGGGAAGGCAAAAACATAATCGTTTCCAGTACCGATGAGGACATCACGACGCACGTGGAAGGATACTTAAGCGTTTATACGTATGCTTTCACTTTCAGTCCGGTGGATACGGTGATCCTCAATTTTTGTAAGAGGTACGAGATCTGCCTCGGGCAGATTCATCCGTCTTTTTGGAGGATCTTGACCCTCCTCCATCATTTCACTAACAACATGGAGGAGCCTCGGTTCATAATTGACCATTTGATCTGAGTCTACAGCCCCCAGACTTTTCGAGGGGGTTTAATCAAGCTCGATCGTCAGGCAAAGAAAGTTCTCCCTTCTCCTGCATTGATGAGGACAATAACCAAGGCTGGCATGGAAGATTTGTGCGGATAAAGACCGAGGATCTTATTTTCTCTGAGTTCTTGTCGTTCCCCGAGAAGTGGAACTCAAAACGTAAGTTCACTTCCTCTTAAGTTGTCAAGGTACTTTTCTTTTTGAATCCACTCTTCTTTCTCATTATTTGTTTTATTTGACATGCAGCCGTTGCCCGAGTCCCAATGCGGTACTCGTTTTAGGGAGTGGGTCGAGGGCATATGTAAACAACTCACCTATTCCGAGCGTGAGTGGCGCAAGCTTTCCAAATGCAAATGGGAAACTCGTTCTCACGGTGAGTGTCCCCCTTCTTTTGGTTGAATTTCCCTTTGGGTCGTTTTTATTTTGTCATTATTTTGACTAAGTCTTTTCCTCTAGGCTTGCCCAAGACCACCAAACTTTGGGCAATCACCGAGGTTGTGGCCTCGTCCCCGTCTGAAAAATCCTCCGCTTCACTACAGCCTACTGCCGAAGCTGCTGCGAAGAAAGAGGAGAAAACGAAGAAGAAGGAAAGGTATCCCGACTCCTCAGACGCTCCTGTCGAGGCCAAGAAGAAGAAAAGGATTGTGGTCAGGGTCATAAAGAGCACCAAGAAAGCTTTCAATGCCCCTATCCCGGATCCCGAAGCTCTTTACCAGCTTAAGGACTATCCTGAGGATGATGGCGACATGGAATTCGTCACTTACAAGTCCATTGATGTCAACC